GTGAGAAAATGAACACTTTTCACAAGCAGAAATATTCAAAGAGCTCCACTGTTTACATGTAATCAAGACTGACAGTCATAGATTATCGGTGGAAGAGCATTTTCTGCTTGAGGTGAAAGAAGAGGATAATTTATCAGGAAGCCCAAGAAGTCAGACATCAGTAATGATCTGCTTGAAGAAGGGCATATCTTAGAAATAGTGCATTTATTTGTACTGCAAGGCAAGAAGATGTTCTAAGTTATAAACAAGAGTCTTAGTGCTTGAAGAATGTCAAGCAGATACACTGTGTAATTTGCTGGGCAACTGCGATTAGAGAATTGACTAATGTGTGTCTCGATGCTTGTTCAGAATATTAAAAGAGGAAGTTAGCATAATAGAGATTGTCTAAAAGAGCTTTTCATGCTCTCTCATCCTATTCTCTCTTTGTGGAGTTATCTGAGCTGTGCTGATCTGGTTGCTTACCTTTCTGTTAATGTTTATGATTTTGAGATGCTCCTGTAACACAACAACAGCTTTGGCTTCAGAAAATTTGGGGCTTTCTGGGTTTTGCAGTAAAACATCTTGTTCATCTGGTGTGATGTTTTTGCATTACCTTTCTCTTACAAAAACAGGCTAAGTACTGGATGTTTTAATATAGTAACTACCTTTGAGCTCTACAGAAATGTTTTACAGCCTCACCTTGCCTAGGTGTGCACTGGCCTGCAGCAATGCAAGGCTGTGTGTGGGAAGACTCCCCTCCCAGCCCCTGTGCTGAGTCCAGGAAAGAGAAATGCTGCTTCATTCCTGGAGTGCAGCCTGGAAAGGAAGGATTTGGTTTGAGTTAGAAGATTAAGCTCATTCGGTATAAAACACCATGGAGATCCATCCCTTGTAGTTTAGTTTGGTATTCATTGTCTCTGTTCCTGCCAGGCTTACAACTCTGCTGCTTTTTTTCTTTTTCTTTTTTTTTTTTTAACATTAGAGCTTCCTAATTGTTCTTTCTTTCACTTAGTTTAGGAGTTATAAATTTTAGTCTGTATTTGGCCAACTTCGGCCAACATTGCCATAACATGGCTGAGAACAGGCTGAGAGTCCCCACAGTTCTGCTCCATGTGCTATTTTCATTTCACTTGAAATAGCAGCTACTTACCCCAACTGGGAGCACACACACAAGGGACTCTGAAGGTGAGTGGTTTCTTCTAGAAGCAATCATTGCAAGAAGGGCAATGACTGTGTTTAGGGTCCTTTGGATAATCTGCAAGCCTTGTCCCAGGAACTGGAGAGAAGGTAACCAAACTGTTTCTGAGAGGATGTGGCTCCATCAGTCTTCATCTCTATTCAGATTGTCCAGGCAAATCTGCGCAAAACCTCTCTCACAGAAAATCATGTCAGTCAGATTGTTTGGTTTTTTTCAGGGTTTGTGGAGGTAGAATTGTTCTACAGAAAGTATCATAGACTTCTAGCTAGTCTGTGTTTGGATATATCTGAGTAAGGATGTCAGTTCAGCTTCTCCAGTTTTTACTGTCTGACTGGGGTAGAAAACAAGAGGAAGTCACTGGTTTTTATGGATAAGTATCTGGCAAATAGAGCTGCTTTTTTCCCTTTAGTTTGAGCAGAAACTCAGAATGTTCTCTAGGTGCAAGAGAGCATTGCTTCCCCTATTTAATCCAAACTTTCAGTAGCAAGTCAGATGTTTGTAAAGATCCACAGCTGAGACTTGGATGTACATGTGAATATGTATACACTCCAAGGCACAGAAGTCCCTTAGAAACAAGTATCAAATGTTATGTTTGTTTCCCACCTGAATTCTAAATCAGTACAATTTATAACTGAAATATGTATGTTCTTCTTTCCTGAGAGTAGTTTTATAACTTAGACAAAATACTATGGAGACTCTCTTAGTCTTTTAGTAAAACAAGTCAAAAAAAGTTTACATAAAGTAGGTTTTGCTTATAGAGGTCTTCACGGAGAGAACTTAACCTGGTTGAAAAGTACCTTACACAAGAATATATGAAAAAACCACGTGAGACCAAACCCATCTATGATCACAATATCTTGTCACCACTGGGGACCCCTAGCAGATGCCAAGAGAAGATTTGAAGAACCACAGGTGAACCTCCATTGTGCTTTTCAGACCTCATTGATTTGTACCATGTAGAATCCCTGGGACAGAGTGGGTATTAGCAATCTTTATTTCTCTTCTATTTGTTGGTACTGTTGTTCTTGAACCTGCATAATATTTAGCATCCAGAAGATCATCTAGCAAGCTTATCTGTAATTTAACTATTATCTGTCAAAGTGCTGGATGGATTGGAGCTGCAGGATGGTGGTGGCAGAGAAGGGGAGGTAACTACCAGAGATGGTTTTCCAAATATCTACAATGTTAGGTAATATCAGAAACATTAGGATGATAATTGTTTATTGCACTGCATAAATGACCAGCATGGTCAGAGGTTTGAACGTAGGATAGTTCTGGGATCCTGTTTGGGTAGATGTAGCAGTTTGATATTGAAATAATATTCATCTATAATTCAGCTGAACGATGCACAGGTTGGCTGTGGCAAAGATATAACACCACACTCTGGTCTTCTACATTCTCCATGTGTCCACAAAATGTAGATACACCTTTTCAATATGAGAGGCACGTGACACCTGCCATGGTGAGCACAGCACAGCTGTGCTGGGTGTTTCCATGCTGAACTGGGGCTCACTGTGTGGTACTGCAGGCTGTGGACTGGGAACCAGAGTTTCTGAGGTAGGCTGGGTTTCCAGGCAAGTTTCAGGATTCATCGCTGCTCCCCATATACCTGTTTTAACCTTAAGTCAAAGATTGATTATTTTTAAAGGTTAGCTGTTATGTATCAAAAGAAATCCTCACCTTTGCCAGCTTTGAGAAGTCACTGTGGTCTGCAACTTCACAGTTTCAATTTAGACAGCAACAAGAGCCATTTCAGATTAAGCCTTCTTATTACTGTTTACTTCAGTTTCTTTGAACAGGATTAAAAAAAAATCACAACCTAGGAGTCACACCCTCACTTTGCTAGTCTCCCCCTGGATTCAGCTCTCACCTGGGTTGTGCAGAAACAGGATAGCAAGGGAGAAGAGCAGCCAAATCATGTCACTGAAAGCAATTCTCTCAGGTTAAACAAGGAGACCTTGAGGAGCAGGGGCTGCCCTCCTTTGCCTTCTAGCTGTTGCCTGCTGTATCTCCTGCTGATGCTAGGTCGAATGAGCAAGACACTGCTTTTTTTGAAAAGCAGCTCACACCTCAGTCAGACAATTGATTTACCACCACTCACCTGGTCCTGGTGCATCCTCTTGTGAAGTGTGAGCATTCAGAGTCCATAGAAAGTACAGGGTGATGTGCTAACTCCCTCTCATTGCCAGGTCAGCTGTGGTACCTACACACTGTGTAGGTGTGTATAGTGGGTGAGAGCAGGACACAAAGGGTGTGTGTTGATAGTGTGTACACTCTACCAGTTCCTGGCTTTTAAATCTTTCTCTCTAATTCTGTAGCATTATTACAAGATGGATTTATAACACACCTGGTGCTAATGTAACAATGAAGATTAGTCCTCTACTAGTCAAACAGTAATACACTAATTTGCCTACAGCTACTGTATCATACTGGCAAGAAAGAAAATAGCTTTCTAATGCAGCTTCAGCTGCTGAGGAGGGAGAAATCTGTGCTGCAGAATGTAAAACTACATAGGACTATAGCTGGCAGCAAAATTCAGAGTAGGAAAACAAAGCACAAATAAAAGTATTTGTGAGTTGGAGGTATAGTAACAATCCTAGTTTATTGCTAAACATGCCATATACAGTAATGTACTTTGTTTGGCAGGTTCATGATTGCTTCATCTTTTTTTTTTTTTCACTGCTTCATCTTCTGTACTAAAATTTGTCCTGGAATAAAAGGTGTAAATTCATTAGTTCCTAACTTTGTTTGTGACATTAACAGAAAGTCAGTATTATAAAGTTCCTCAGAAGCACTGGTGCTGTTAGTATGGTCTGTGCTGTGCTCTGCACTGAGAAACACATTGGAAATCTCAATACTTAAGCTGTTTAGCAAATGTTTCTGCTGTCTGTTGTAAATGCAGTCCTTGCTTGACAAGTGTCAGGCATTCTTTGAATGGACATGTGTACCAATAGTCACTGAAGTGCCAGCACATTGCATGTACCATAAAACAGAACTCCCTTCCTTAGAAAAGCAGCAAAGTCATCACCTTCTCCCTTGTTGAGTGGCAAAGGAAGAAATTGTCATGTCTGGGATAATATCACTTAATGCATATGGGATAGAAATTTTGTGGGCTTATTGTGTATGTTAGATGCAAAAATTATGTGTTTCACATACTTTTGATCTTTTTTTTCCCCCCAATAAATCATCGGTGAAAAATATAAATATGCTTAAAATAGCAGGTTTTGTTTCCATGCAAGGGATGTGTCTGTCTTTCAACAAGGGCAAGGAAGGACTAATAACTTGCATGCAGAGAGGGAATGTATCTCTTGGAAAACTACTGATATAAACTGTTGGTGGAAACAGTTGCACCAGGGCCTTGTTATCACAATAGGTCTTTGATGGGAAAGGTGGCCCCATGGGCAGAGGAGAAGCCAAACAGAAAATCTTACAGGAATTACTGACAAGGTGTCCAGCTCACTCCACTGGTGTGATAGGCACTTCAAAGTACCTGAGTGTGTTTGTTATCCTATTACCTTATCTACCAGCTTTGCATCAAAGACTCACAAGGTCTCTGACCATCAGCCCACAAAGCTGAACTCTGCCACTGTCTGGCATTCACCCTGGCACCTGGTGTTATCACCATAAATCCAGCAGAGCCAGTTAACTACTGTCACCACTCCAAACCAGTAACCTTCACACTTCATCCCTTCATCAACAGGTCCCTCTGTCCTGCAGACAGATGGAATAGTTAGATTGATTGCATACAGGCATGCCCTGAATTTGACATTAAAACTGGAAAAAAAAATCAACAGACTTTTTTTCTTCTTTCTCCCTCAAAAAGTTGCAACGACATGACAAAGAGGATTCCCCTGACAAGTGGAGGACAGAAGAAGAAATGGCAGCTGAAGCAGCAATTCTGAAGAAGTATTTTCAGGAAAATTAGAGGTAAGGATTTACACATTGACTGACTCCTGCTACACCCAAAACTCTGATCAAGCCTCCATAGCCTGAGAGGGAATATGTAGAATGGAACAAAAGAAACCAAATCTCTTAGGTTTGTGTTGTTTCCTAAAGGACACAGCACTCCAACAGTGGCTGAAATAACATGCTCATTCTTGAACAAATCAACACCATCCTAGAGCATTTTGTTTCCCGACAGCAAAAAAAGTAGCATATCTGAAAACCAGAATCATCAGCATTTACATAAGAGGAGCATCTAACCTAACATATTCTCCCTCCTTTTAGAGCAGAACATAGCCCTTGTACCTCTATGAAGAGCTGAAAACTGGTGTGTCTTTGTACACCCAGATATGCATATGCACCTCTACATACAAAATTACAGCAGAATTCAGACTATAGAGTAGATAAGCAAATGCTAACTTCATCTGTCAAATCTTAAATCATCTGATTAGTTCAACTTTCAAAATTAAGCCTGCTGGAAAACTGCCTGGTCTGCTAAATTTTCCACTGGCCCTAAAATAAAAAAAGATTTGCAGCGAGAAACAGAAAAGAGAAAACACTTGGCAAACACTAACATTTGTGCTCTAGAAATTGAGGGTTTTTCATTTTGTACCTGGAGTCCCAGAAGCCAGATTCTTCCAGCAGAAATGAACTGGCCCCCGGAGATCAATATAAGTTACGCTGGGATGTACACTACAGCAAGCATGCCAAGAGCTCCCTCTCCCCTGTTCCCCATATGTTGTTTGCCACCATCCAGCACTCTCATTTCTCTGTCATTTCTGACTGTTTCATATTTTTTTCTCTGAAGAACCCAAATCCCATAAATATCCCTCCTCTCTTGTCTGTGACTCACTGCTTGCAGCCCAGCTTGAGAAATCTTGAGCTAAACTACACGTTGGACGCGTGGCACACTTACGTGGCAGCTCTCATCTCCTGTCATCTCCCTTTGGATGACATTTTGGATGACTCCAAAGGGAGTTCATCGGACTTGCCTTTCCATTTTTCCTTGCATGATGACCATGCTCTTGTCTTCTCCAGCCAAATTAGCTGTGCCAACCCCTCTGTGGAGTGGCACAGAAAAAGCTCTGTAACACATGTAATTCCCATCTGTGAAAGAAATTTGTCCTCAGCAGCTGAGACCTAGGGACCTCTGAGGTTTGGAGTGGCAGGGTGTGGACTAGACAGTCAGGTTTCTGCAGTGGCTGCTGGAGTTGTGTGTGGATAGCCACTTTTCACCTTCTCAGAAATATGTTTCTGAAAAATGAATTACTCCGCCAGAAAGAAAGAGCATATTCTTAGGTAATGCATGTGTAAGCACTCTTCTCTACTAACAGAGGCATTATGTAGTGCTTCATCTATGGCACAGCAACAAATGAACAGTACTTAGGGTAAAATGGCACCTTCCTATTCTAGTATGATATTGTTTCCCATTATTTATCTGGTAGTTTTTTTGGGGGAGTTGTTTTTTTCTTCGGTCTGGTCAGAAATGACTTGGAAATATTTTTTTTCTAGAGATTCTCAAAGGGGCTGGAAATAAATCCCCACAAACCAATAAAATATTCTTTATCTCTTGTGATACTAAACACAAAACTGGATAGATGGTATAAATTTATTCCTGCAAACAAATTCATGTGGCTGGACATTTCCATTTATTATGAAAATAAATCAGTGTGTGTCTGCATGGATGACCTCTTGATAAGTTTCCCGTGATGTTAAGGTCATTACCTTTCCTAGAACAAACTGGTAAATTAAATCTTACTGGCATTATTATCATGAGAGTATTGTGCCTAGTACAGGCAGTTCTTCCAGCAATACAAGGCATCACTGTCAATCTCTTCTTCCTGACATTGTTTTGCTTCTGAGGTTTAAGGCTCTGAACCTGACAAGGTATAGCTGAGCACCTTCTGCATTTCTCAGCCTTTATCTACTCTCTTAACCTTGCTTCTGAAGTGATGAAGATTGAAAACTTTTGGCAAATTAACAAGGTTATATACATCCTTCTTCGGAGCTATTTTTGTATTTTACCTACAGAGGATTTATTTTGCCATTTATAGGTTTACCTGAATGCCACTTGACTTGAGGGTTTTTTCATGCAGCACAAGGAAAGTTAGAAAGAGCTGAATGTGGGTGTTCTGGAGCCAATAAACAGCAATTTTTAAGGCCTCATGCATTATTTTTCTACTTAAGTGTTTTGTTCAAAGAAGTCCAGCTCAGCTAGATTAGCCTGGACGGACAGAGCTGTTTCAGAGCTTTTGCAGCTACCCTTACATTTATCACAAGTCCTTCACCACCTGTCACACCTCCTGTATGACTTGACTAGGTACAGTAGCACCTTTTACCTGTATTTATAGACCATCTGATCAAGAAGGACTTGCAGGTGACTTTTCTTTTTCTTAAGCAATACTTGAATAAGGCAAGAAGCTCTTGATTCTCCCCCTACTGCATTTACTGGTGCTGCTCCCTCTGGGCTGGTTGACTAGCTACAGCTGAATGCTTCTACATCACTCCCCAGATGATCTGAAATATCCACTCCCTTGCTTAAAGAAATGAACCCATTTAGCCTTGCTAAGTTTACACTCTTGAGAAACTGCTTATCTTTAAATAATTTATTTGTGTGTGCAATTGCCCAGAGTGGATGAAACTAAAATCAGTGAGTGAATTTGTATTCTGCACATGTATTTCACTGTGTGTCCCCATGCCACTGTATCCCATCTCATTAGAAGGACTTGTCACTTCTTGACCACCCCCAGCATGTGCAGGCTCTGTGGGGCTGCTCACAGTGCTATGTCTGCAGAGCTGAAGTTCAGAAGAACTTCATGTGACTATGGAAGAGAGAAGGAAAAGAACTTTCTGGGGATAGGATGTTTAATATAGAATTGCCCCAGTTCATCACTCTATGTTTAGTAGCACCAAGATTGTGCTATATATGATTGTGTGATATGTGGCTGTCATATGGTCAATTGTGTTTGATAACTGGTTGGTTTTGAGGTGGATCCACAGGGAAA